TTACATCTTGTAACTGAGCCATGCTTTCATATGACATGCCTTCATTGCTCTGATGCTGTTAGGCTGCATTATGTTGTTCAATCTTGTCCTGAAATACAATTGGAAACTTCATAAACTTCAGGAAAGCAATAAGATAAAGCAATAACTATTTATTTATAGTATTTTATTTATATATAAGTATAACGTTAAACGATAGTAAAGCACCAACAATTCTGGACATGAGAGTTTGTGGACACTCCTCAACATTAATGTAAACTTAGACACTGAAACGAAGATATGTACAAGCATACACACGCCACGTTTGTAACTAGCCACGTTTACATAATCAGTCGCTTTGCCGGTGACAAAATTGTGATTCTTCACAAAATGGCGGTGTAACTTATATAACCGTCTAAAATTACATTTCCGCGGTCATCCGTGGCTAGAAAATGGCCTCAAAATATAAAACATTATCGATAATTACAAATTCCAGTATAAATAACAAAAGGTTTTATATCAAGGTATATGAAGACTTTAGTCGCGCGAGCTCCGGGCCACACCGCACATTACTCACGGCCCGATTCCGGTGCACGGTTACGGCAGCGTCGGCTCGCTTCTGCCGCCGCATCTGACCCGAGTAACGATACAGCAGACGGACTCGGGCAGGCGAGAATCTAGCCGCAACTGGCCCAAGTGTATTTTGCTATCTGGGTTGCGATAATATTCCGCCGTGGCAACACTTATTAATAAAGCAGTAACGTAACGTAACATATAAGGCGCGAATACGTAACGTAGGCGATAAAGGGAACTTTTACACCGAGAAAACTAACAGCATATAGTACTTACCTTCTATAACGTTATGTCCCTCGGTGACTTCGATATCACGTTGTATTAACTTCTTTAATAAGCTGCAGACATCTTAGCAAACTCCATCATGCAGGCCAACGTACACCAGCCAGCCCGGAGCACAAAGCTGGGGAAAGCCGAGACCAGAGAGTCAGACAAAATCAACAGAACACGGCTTCACATGTAAAAATGAGACTGAAAATATATCTTTAATACATTCTTACCTGAAAAGTGTGGACTCCAAAATAGACTTTTCTTTGAAAAGCGTGCGAAGTTCTGTGTAAACAGCCAGCATACTCGACCGACCGCCTCAGTAACAAACACTACTATAACGTCTCAACAAGCCAAATTCTTAAAGAGACAGCATCATCACCACCTGTATGAAGATGCTGTCCCTCTGCATGGTTCTTATTCTACATCCCATATATACTATAGGGACTTAAACAGTAAGCAAAGACCAGTATTTACGTTTTTAATGATTAAAATTACATTTAATTATAAATTAAATTATTAACATTTTTGAGAAAAAATGTAATTTAAATACATGAAAAAAATTAATTATAAAAATATTTAATTTAATCAATTTATTTATTTATTATATTTTTAAATTATGTATTTTAGTATTAATGTTTAGTATTAATGCATTTAAATTAGTGTTATATAGTGTCTTGATCTTATCATGAGCTGAGGGTACAATTTTGTTCCTATAGGGAAACAAAATATATAATTGTACCTTTAAAGGTGCCAAATTGGTCCTTTACGGTACAATTTTGTATCCAAATGTGCTATAAAAGGTACAAAAATGTACCTTTCAAACCTAAATCTGGACATTTGTACCTTTATAGCCCATTTGGGTACAAAATTGTACCCTAAGGACCAATATGGGACCTTTAAAGGTACAATTTTATATTTTGTTCCCTCTAGGAACAAAATTGTACCCTTATTGTACCTTTTTTTCTGAGAGTGTATTCGATTTAGAACTCCAATTAGTAAAACAATTCTGTTTAAACCTTCATCCATCCCCAGTTTTTAAATTTAGGATACAATTTGTATTGTACTAAGTGTTTTGTGCATTATGTGTGACATGCTTGTATGCTACAACCAAATTGCCTTCGGGAAATTAATAATAATTAATTAATTAATACTGACTGATATGGTTATGATAGCTGTTTTAACATTAGGTTATGATTGAATTGCCTCTTACAGAACAGGAAATGTTCATGGACCATTCACATGACCACAGTGAACTAACTGTGTGGGTTCACTAACTAACTTGCGTGGGTTTCCTCCGGGAGTTCCGGTTTCCCCCACAGTCCAAACACATGCGGTACAGGTGAATTGGGTAAGCTTAATTGTCCGTAGTGAATGTGTGTGTGTGTGTGTTTCCCAGGGATGGGTTGCAGCTGGAAGGGCATCCGCTGCGTAAAAAAATGGGCTAGATAAGTTGGCGGTTCGTTTCACTGTGGCGACCCCAGATTAATAAAGGGACTAAGCCGAAAAAAAATGAATGAATGAATGAATGAATATGTAGACATTGCATGAAACATTAGGCCATGAAAATTTACTTGTAAGTCTTGAAAGAAAACATGTAATTTTAGTAGTTGAAATGTGTATAAACCCTGTTTACAGATGTACACTGTTAAAAAATATCCCTGAATAAGCAGTTTTCCATATTTTGTGATTCATGTTTTTAATTTTCCTCATTTATTTCTGTTTTTGAAATGCATTTTGGGATCTTGGCCTTTTTTCCCCAACAACTTTTAATCTTAAAGTTGTATAAAGTGACTTTTCTGCACGTGTGATGGTGTGCAGTGCATTATTGTCTGGGTTGAAGTTGTTTGTTATTTTACAAAAACCTTGTAATAAACTGCAGCACATTTTCTGTTATTTTACGGACTCATTTCTCTAGATATTATTTCTTATTCATTATATTATTATTTTAAGTGAATAAAAGTCACTTTGTTAAACTGTAGAGTTTAATTTTTAACATCAAACGTAGACAGAGCAGAGTGAATTGCATCCCATAATGCAATTTACACCAGGAAATAAACACAAAACACTTCAGAATCACAGAATATGGAAACTGTTCATTAATAGATATTTTTTACAGATGTAGATTTTGCTGTCATATTTAATTTAAAGCGGTCATCTTATGCTTAAACTTCTTCCTTGATTTGATGTGTACAATCCTTTGAGTAAGATCTATGCACTGAAATAAAGATTTAAATGCTGGAAGGACTTGGGTGAAAACCAAAAATGCTTTGTAATTTTTTAGAATAAATAAAAAATGAATACAAAGTAATTTGTAAGACTTGAACTAAAATAGATCCTTTATTAAAAAACACAAGCCAAAAAATAAACAAAAAAAAATTTGGATTACGGGTAAAAAGGAGTCACATATCATTCATTGATTTTCCTTCAGCTTAGTCTCTATTTCAGAGGTTGCCACAGCAGAATGAACCGCCAACTATTCCAGCATATGCTTTACACAATGGATGCCCTTCTAGTTGCAACGCAGTACTAAGAAACACCCACACTCATACACTACAGCCAATATAGTTCATCAGTTCCCCAATAGCACATGTGTTTGGACTGGTGGAAACCCGAGCACGGATGAAATACACGCCAACACGGGGAGAACATGCAAACTCCACACAGAAACACCAACTGACCCAGCTGGGACTCGAACCAGCGACCTTCTTGCTGTGAGGCCCATTTAGTAAAATGGAGTATATTGATGTGATTTATTTTCAACACATTAAAACAACAGCCCCAACAGTAACATTACTAGCATGCACAGAATAAAATCATGAATGAAAATGCCTTCTTAAACATGAGACATTACAGTATAACGCTTTGAATGCAGTTTTATATGGAACATGACTGCATTTCCATTCATTCAGCAATATAAAAATATCATTAATACAAGTATTAACTGTACATACAGCGTAAACCCTTTACATGTTTCCTCCATTCATTCATTCATTCATTATAAAGCAGTTATAACTGTATAATGAAATTACCAATCTACACCGGTAATTGTATTATATGCGTTATAGCGTGCTAAAGACGCGTCCCCCTGTTATAAATACACAAAGTCTCATTCATTCTCTCTCTCAGAGGTGCTTCATAAAAGCATTCTGTCGCCGCGGGGCAAGTTTTCAGCTCATTGACCCTCATTCATGCAGAGACTGTTGTTTTCTCCGATCTCTCTCTCTCTCTCACACACACACACACACACACACACACACACAGCGAGAGAGAGAGAGACACGTCGGCTGATGGGATCGGAAGGGGCAGAGCTGATCTGTGGGTATGAAGGGGCGTTTGTCTGTCCTCGACACGTCTGAACGCGCTCATTTCTCCTCGATTCACGGCATAAACTACATCCAGACCTCCCTCTCTCGTTTCCAAACAGAAATAAATCACACGTCACCAGAGAAACACTTGATCTTAATGCATCTCAAAGCTAAATCTAAACACAGCTGCGCCAGTTCAGTTCCCTAAACACACATCTGACTGCTGTTAACCTTCTCAGAGACTAGTGTGAAAGTCACTATGTATTAGCATAACCTTTGTATAATAAATAGCCTATGCGTTAACTTTAAATAGGCAATTTACACCACGTTTTTAACCCGGCTCTCTGGTTTGTCCATATTTGACCCATCGCCAGGTTAATACAACAAAGCACTCAGTGTGGATTAAACAACGAAGCATCATTTATGCGAGACGCGCATCTACAACATGCTGGGTTGTTCTAATAACCCAACATCAAACATGGACAACCCAACTGCTATTTTTTTATTAAACTTATTTATTAACCCTAATGTTAGGTTTATAAACATTTGACCCAAAGTTTGGTTAAAACAACAGCATTTCTGAGCGTATAATTGCATAAATTCAGGATTTTTAGCGCTTTTCACGATAATTATCACTGCAAATCAGCTTTGCAGAAGCTCATTTTATTAAATTGCAATCATAATCACAAATAAATGATGTTATCAATCTTACTGTTTACTCAAATAACCTCCAGAACCAGATAGCCATCCAATTTGAGAGTAAGTTAGTCGAGGCGGTGGATGCGCATTTATTAAATTACAATATTAATCTGAAAGACTTGATGTCTATAATTGTTTTGTTTACTCGAATGCTTCATAAAATCCTCCATAACTCACCAAACAGCCATCCGGTCTTTGGGGTAGTTCAAGCGGTCGATTGCGCCGAGGACATGCGGCAGGGAGTGCGCGGAGTTGCGGCAGACCAGCGCGACCAGCACCCGCGGGGCAAGAAGAGCCGACTCCGGGCTCCAGCGCTCCTCCGGGAAATAAGAGCGCGCCGGGCCGGTCCACAGCAGCAGGAAGAAGAAGCACAGCAGATGCATGGCCGGGGAAAAAGCGGAAGATCGGGCAGAGAGACTGATCGTGGAGCGCTGACGCGACCAGTGGCCAATATGCCCACCGACATTAAATACAGAGAGACTCACGGTGGTCCCCGGTGCAGAATTAAAGGGGAGGGCCTTTTCTAAATAGAGAAAAACTGGCTTAGGGACGAAGTCGGAAAGATTTACTGCACTCGATCGACTAGTAAATGACAGAGATGTTATAATATGCGGTAATTGAACTGCAGCGAATGTAGAGTTATGAGTGACAAACCGCTAATCTGGTGTGTGCGCCTTTAATTTCGCGGCGGCCCCTTTAAGAGAAACTGCGCTCGTTTGGAATCTGCCAGAAAGTTTGTGGGCGTGGCTCTCTCTCTCTCTCTCACACACACACACGCACGCATGCAAGTGAACAAATGTAGATGTGTAATGCTAAATGTCAATGTATTGAGCTAACGTGATTCGCACCAGTATATCGGTTGTAGGCGTTGAACATAGTTAAAGGACAAAAACGACCAATAGGTAAAGGAATTCTTCCTTAAAAAGTGAGATACACTTTAATTCGGAGTTTACAGAGTTAACCGAGGACATCTGCTGGTCACAACTTTCATGTCTAAAAAAATAAAATCATAAAATGTCCCCTAAACCATTATTTTTGTTGTGAGAATTAAAACTATTTTATTTATATGGAATGTTGGGGAAAATAATAAACATTTGACGGTATTAAGACACTTAAAAAATTACTTAATTGGTTAAAATAGGTATAGGCTTTAGGGTACACTTTACAATAAGGTTGTATTATGTTAGTTGACATGAACAAAGAATTAACAGTACATTTATTACAGTATTCATATAATTATATAGTTAATGAAAAAGCAGTTATTGATTTGTTAGTTCATGTTAACTCACAGTAACTAATGTTACAAGCATGATTTGGATGTTAATAATGTATTAGTAAATGCTAAACTGTGGTTAATAAATGCTGTATAAGTAATGCTAGTAAATACATTAATGAAAACCTATAAAGTTTGACTTTACCCAACAATGTATGTCCAAACAAAATTACCCAGCAACAATGCTCAGTTTTGTTTTGTTTTTAGAATGTTCAACAATAGATACAAAGATATACAAAAAATGTATAAACCCTAGCAACAACAAAAACAGAGAACAGAACAAAGCAAAACGAGAGAGAAGACCAAAAATAGTGTTAGGGATAATATAAATTACAATATACAATGTTAAACGTTGGTCACAGTCATGTGCAAACAATATGGTCAACCATAAATTATAGAAGAGACTATATTCACATTGTATTCTTGCTTTAACATCATAGTGATGATATGCACGGTAACTTGAAATAATGATGTTAACATCAACTACTGTGTATGCTATGTGGATGGTTTAGATAACTCTATATCAGACATTGTGAATATTGTTGTCCTACTTGTTAAACATCATATACATTTTTGTATCTGGACAGACACTGTTGTAACTGAACATTTCTTAAACCAATTTAAACTTGTTCACTCCTGACTGAGATTATTTAATGGTCAAACTCAGAAAATATTACCGGACATGTATAAGGGTCTCGTGTTTTAATTAACATTTTATTAATTGTTTTATTGCCTTGTAATACAGATCCCTTTAAGGTTTGATGCCAGGGGTGGACTGGGTCTAAAAATCAGCCCTGGCACTGTAGCCACACCAGCCCACATTACCACACCGACACAGGCCCACCCATGGACGCGCACATTCACTACTTATATTGGTGTACAGATGGTAAAATTATATAAGCAGTACCATATTTAAGAGATATTTAAATATTCAATGTAGGTGACGGGATCAAAAACAACCCATTTATATATTCAATCATTTCATTCATTTTCTTTTCGGCTTAGTCCCTGTGAACCGCCAACTTATCCAGCATGTATTGTACACAGCGGATGCCCTCAAAGCTGCAACACATTACTGGGTTACCCAATTCATCTATAGCATGTGTTTGGACTTGTGAAGTAAACCAGAAAGAAACCCACGTTAAATCAACTGACCCAGCCGAGGCTCGAACCAGCGACCTTCTTGCTTTGAGGTGACAGTGCTACCCACTATGCCACTGCGCTGCCCCCAGTGTCTGACTTGACTGCTTTTCCCTTTATATGGTACATCTCTGACAATCAGCTTGTGTTGCACTTACTGTTTGTTTCACATTCTTGCCAGATTTTGATTACGTCCGCGTAACCTCAGATTGGGTCGGCCCATCTCGAAACCAGCCGGTCGTTGCCGATTGGGCCAATGCTTAACATTTATTATTATTCTTACTAGTATCATTATCATCATAAAATTCACATCTTGCAAGAAATAAAAGCTGCCTACATGTGAAAACAATATATGAAAAATAAATAAAAATAGCTGACCGGCCCACATTAAAAAAAAAAAATGGTCCAGCCCTTCTGGCATTTGCCAGATGGCCAGTCCGCCCCTGTTTGATGCTGACTGTTGTTGTACTCTGAATCAGATAGAGCTTTTTTGTCAAGTGTGTGCAAACACAAGGAGTTTTTCTTTTAGGATCACAGTATAGATTACATCATAACACAAGAACAGAATTACATTTAACCCTTTCAGGCACAAATTAAATTTTAGAAACAGGCAAAGTCTATGCTTTTAACTGTTGCAAATCAGCAACGCCTGCCTTGAGAGGGTTAAATACAGTAAACAAAGATGCATATCCTATTCAATAAATAATATGATATATGCATACAGATAATTTATGTGCATTGCTGACTTTTTTAAATTGTATAAATGAGAAATATACACAAGTATTTACAATTAAGCAGCTTTGTTTACTAAGACCTTAAACGGTAAGGCTCCTGATTGTTTATGACTTTAAGAAAACCAGTAACATCTGATCTGCTGTTTAATTTGCAGATGGTCTTAGGAAAACTTGGTTTTATACTATGTTGTTAGCTCTCTGAGATGATGAACTGTTTATTAATAAAAATAAATCACCATCATATCAACATTGCACAGCGCCCTCTGCTGTACAAGCCTGCCATTGAGTCAGTCCCAAACTTTCTTCCAATTGAATTTTGGCACGTCATTTCCTCATACGAAGTGTATGCTAAAATCAGTAAGCAGTTTGCATGTTTCTGTCTTCGCCAGTGTTTAGTCTCGATTAGTTTTCAGCGCACTTTCGTTATTCTCCGTGTAAATGTCGCTTGAGGATGACCTGTCGTGTGCGGTTTGCACTGATGTCTTCCGTGATCCGGTGTTGTTGGGCTGTGGGCACAGTTTCTGCCGTCAGTGCATCTATGATCACTGGTCTTCCAGCGGAACCAGAAACTGCCCGATCTGTCGGCAGGTTTCACGGCAGCGCCCGGTGGCCAATGTTAGCCTGAGAAACACCTGCGAGTCTTACCTGCTGCGGGAGCAAAACACCAGGACAGACCGCAAAGATGAGGATGAACAGCCGTGTCCGGTACACGGAGAGAAGATCGAGCTCTTCTGTCAAAACGATGAGCAGCTTTTATGTGCGAGGTGTAGGAAATGTGGACACGGATGGCATAAGACAATGCCCTTACAACAGGCTGTACGACAACGCAGGGTGAGGCTGATTAGTCATAATTAACCCTTGTGTGGTGTTTACACTTTCGTTTTGTTCCTGGCTGTTTTTGGCTCATTGACTTTCATTAATTATTCGCCCCCCCAGTTTCTGTTTAACAGAGAGCAGATTTCTTTAACACATTTCTAATCATAATAGTGTTAAAAACTCATCTCTAATAACTGATTTATTTTATTTTTGTCATGATGACACTAAATAACATTAGACTAGATATTCTTCAAGACACTTCTATACAGCTTAAAGTGACATTTTAAGAATTAACTAGGTTAATTAGGTTAACTAGGCAGGTTAGGGTAATTAGGTAAGTTATTGTAAAACGATGGTTTGTTCTGTAGACTATCAGAAAATATATATAACTTAACGGGACTAATAATGTTGACCTTAAAATGTGTTTTTAAAAAAAAAAATCAAACTTATTTTATTCTAGCCGAAATAAAACAAATAAGACTTTCTCCAGAAGAAAAATATTATCAGACATACTAGCTGCGTCCCAAATCGCATACTTATGCACTATTCTACGCAATTTTGTAGTATAAATAGTGTAAGTAGGGTGTTCACACTGAAAACTCTAACAATAGTAAGTGCACTTTAATCACCCGGATGATGCACTCATTCAGCCGCTAAAATGAAGTGTGTAATGATGGACACTTCACGCACTCAACGACCGCAGGTTTGCTTACGTAGCGGAAGGTGCGGAGCTATCGGACGCACATGTTGGATAACTTTATTTATTTTGGATGGTGAAAGCAAAATTCTCCTACGAGAGTGATTATAGCGCCTCCCGATGGTGAATGCGGCAATACTCACGGCAGGTATTATTTGATAATTCGGTCGTTTATTTCACTGATTTGGCGACCGTCAAACGTCATCAGGGAAACGGTTTGAATTTCCGCTTAGTAAAAAAACATTAGTGTGCCGTTTGGGACGACACTACATACATATACTTTCCTGTTGAGTGCATAAGTACATAGTGCATGAGTGTATAGTGTGCCATTTGGGACGCAGCTACTGTGAACATTTACAGAACCCCGGAAGGGACGTAGTGGAGAAGAAAAAAAATTGGCTGGGTGAAAAAAAAAAAAATGGGTGAAAGAAAAAAATGGGGGGGAGGAAAACATATATTTTTAAGTTTTTGCGTTCCCTCGCAAAGTTTTGCGTTATCTCGCAAAGATGTTTTGCGTTCTCTCGCAAAACTGTTTCTCCACAAACACTTCCTGTTCACTTCACTCACGTAAACCCTCCTGTTTTTGCCGAAATTCTCCCATATTTTACCATTCTATCCCACTTTCTTTACATTAATACTGTGCGTCGATCGTCGCCTTTCACTGTGCAACCTCTAAACCAGAGAATGCATGTATAAGCGCTAACTGACAGACGCGCTCCTTACAATAAACTGATCCCAAATCAGCTTCTGTACACGCCATTTACAGAGGAGCGGGTGTATGTTTAAACAGATAAATACACTGAATAATATGTAAACATCTCCGTCCTGCATGTTTTATTTTAAACAGCTAATTTTCTCTTAAATGAGCACAAACAGTTTCTAAAGTAATGAAATGCTTTCATTATTGATCTGTGCATTCATACAGAGGGGTACATTTTGATGTTCTCAAACATATCAACATGTGGAAATGTCTTTCTCTCACACAGTATACTCAATACAAAATGCAAAAAAACTATGCTTTGTTAGCACTGCAACTGATAATCATCAGTAAAAATTACGAATTTTATCTCTTTCCAAGAGGAAAAACCAACAACAATCAAGAATGCATGATTATATGCTGTCATGGCTTTTCCAAAAATGTGATTTGTAGTGAAAGTCAATGGGGCAAAAACAGCCCCCAACATAACCAAAGGGGAGTCAATTTGCCTAGAGTGTATTGTTGAGTTTAAGTTATTGCATTTTCCCAAAATATGTGTCGAAATATGATGTGTTACCGATACCAATTATCGTTTCATTTGCTGAAACACAGAAAAGGTTGTGGTCAAATTAAGACTCAAAATTAAGACTCAAAATCACCCCAGAGTGGATGAAAACAACCCAACAGCACACAAATGAAATTAAAGAAATGCATATAAAAATGGTAGTTTGTTCAACATACAAAGGATAGTGGGTTTCAAATGAAGTTGTGACTGTGTGTTATGTTCATAGGGAAAGCAGAAAGCAGCTCTTCGATCCGCCGAAAAGACTTTGTTGTCATTACAGAACGGTACAGCGCGGGATCCCAAAATCTCTAGGTACATTCAGGTGAGAATGAAGTCTTAAAAATAAAGATTTAGATAAGGATCTATCAGTTCTCTGATGTTCGGCTTTTCTGAAGAGAGAAAGGAAGATATTTTGAAGCTAAAAAACCTGTAACTATTGACTTTGAGATATTTTTTGCATGTCCATTATTAAGTTTTTCTCTTAATGCTCAGTCACAGGTTCAGGAGACGGAGAGGAAAATAAAGGTGGAGTTTGAGAAGCTCCATCAGTTCCTCAGAAAGGAAGAGGAGAGCAGAATAATGTCTCTGAATGAAGAAGAGGACGAAAAAAGAGGAGCGATTGACCGATCAATACAAGGAGAAATACTGACCATTTGTGACAGAATCAAAGAGCTGAAAGCAGGAATTGAAGACGACGACATCAGCTTTCTGCAGGTTGGTTCTCGCACAATCAAACTCATTTTGATCAGCTTTTAATAGCAGTAATAATAAGTCGGACTAAATATTAAAGTCTCGTAATTATTGAATAACGCTTAATGTTCATGATTTGTGCAAAGGTATTTTTCCACTTTAAGTTTGGTTTATTTAATTACTGTAGTAATTTGTTGGAGCACTTTACAATAAGGTTTATGCAGAGCTAGTGTTTCTATCCATACCGAAACACTTCCGGTGAACGGTTAATGTGACTTCTTTCCATTTTATAAGTTTCCTTTTACAGCAGGGGTGTCAAACATACGGCCCGCGGGACGGATCTGGCCCGCAAACTAATTTAATGCGGCCCGCGAGATAATTCTGTGAGCTGAAATTTTTTAATAAAATACACTCCTTTTCCAATTGTGTCCACTGGATGGCGCAATAGCAAACTTAATTTCATCCCATCCAGAAGCCTGAATCGGAGAGAAAGACCTCATACCTTTTTTTTGTATCCGTCCAAGAAAACTAAACATTCGCGAACCAGTGGAAAATTTCTCTCGCTCGACACGTTTCCTACTGCTGGTTTAGTGTGTGCGCGATCTGTCACTCATACAGATGAGCCTTTTCCACCAAAATGCATCCGACCGTAGCTTCTGAATCTCCTAGAATGTCAGGGAATTAGGTTTTACTTTCGCATTCTAAAGTTGCCGTTATGTGTATGCGTTTTTGCATTACCATTTCACATCTGACTGCGCGCGCACAGCCGCGAGAGAAACATTTAATGATCAATCATTTAAAAAAACGACTCGGATAAACTTGATACTCGGAGAGAACAAAATGACATCTATAACGGCTGCGAAATATTTGTACACCATCAGAAATGGTTAATCAACTAATCTGCCTTATTTAAATAATATACACTTTTAATTCAAGTAATTATTATTATTTTTTGCAATAGTGTCTAGTTTTTCTGATATTTATTTTTTGGGGTCCTTTGGGGTCCGGCCCACTTGAGAGCAGATTTCACTCCATGCGGCCCTTGAGCTAAAATGCATCCATGTTGTAATGTTGTCACGGTTGCAGGTTTGTGCACCCTTCAGAGTGTCTGTTTTGTCACGTGCGTTTGTTTTGTTTAGGTCGTCCGCGTGTATTTGTTATGGTAGGTCACGTGTTATGACGGTACCTTCTCAGTATCTTTGTTTACCCGTGACAAATGTAATTAAGTTAAATAGACGTCAGCATTCATGTAGTTGATCAAATGGAAACCAAGATGAAAAGCCGTTTACACACGAGCACTGTCAGGATCAGCAGGTGAGCACAGAAGCTCCATTGAATATACTGAGGTAAAATAAATGTTCATATTTTAAAGGCATGGTGCAGGGACATGTAATTTAATGCAATGATTCTTGTTCAATCTGAGACCCACTTCATATTGTATATCAATCAGACATGTGTAGATCATTGATTTTTAAAGAAAACAGACCTTAAACGTGCCGTTTTGTAAAAGCATACAGTTCACCTGACATGCTTGACCCAGGTTACTGACAAATTAAAAGTCCTTTTGCATACTTCTGCATATACCCTATGAGGTTGTATTAGTTAATATCACTTAGTGCATTTACTAACATGAACAAAAAATGAACAATATATTTATTACAGTGTTTGTTCATGTTAGTTAACATTAGCGAATGAAAATACAGTTCAATATTCATGCAAGCTCGTGGTGCATTAATGTTAACAAGCATGAATTTGGATGTTAATAATGCATTAGTAAATGCTGAGCTATAATTAATAAATGCTGTAAAAGTTTCATAATTAGATCTTGTTAGTATAAAAACCTTATTGTAAAGTGGGACCTAGTTTGTGAATGTAAAAAAAATGTGTTTAATGACTATAAGAAATTATTTCATAAACTCAGACCGCCTCCAATTTAACATGCTGTGCTATTTTTAATGCACAGCTCATTTAGATATATCAAATATGCAAATACTACATTTACATTCTTGTATTTTTTTAATCTTATGGTGAGTGTATATCAGGGCCGGAGTGAGACTCCTTTTCAGCCCTGGAGTTTAAGCATTTGACCAGCCCACTTCAGTTCACGACGTTTCCAATTCAGTTGCAATGACACTATCATGTCTTTTTCAAGGAAACAGCTTCTTAAGAACTTTCAAATTTTTTCATAAAATGAGAAGATTAAAAGGTAGCTAAATCTCCAACACTATTCTTTAAAGCACAACAGTGTCCTTTCCTGCAATATCAAAAATATATATTCTGTGCTAAATTCTTTATAGATATTCAGTCCTTAGTAAAGGTGGTCACACAAAAAATAAAAATAAAATATTTACACCTATATAAGTAACCCAAACAGTTTTATATGTATTAACACTAAAAATGAAAAAAAAAAAATAAATAAAAAAAATAAAATAAAAAAATAAAAAATTATATATATATATATATATATATATATATATATATATATATATATATATGTGTGTGTATATGTGTGTGTGTGTGTGTGTGTATATATATATATATATATATATATATATATATATATATATATATATATATATATATATATATATATATATATATATATATATATATATATATATATATATATATATATATATATATATATATATATATATATATATATATATATATATTTAGGTGAGGTAAATGCAACATGCTGACCACTGGACCACAATGGCGCTATTACGCTGCTACGTTTAAAATAAAAAATAAGTATTGCACTGCAAGACTCCTTTAACCACAGTATTACTTTCTATTGATGGCTTAAAGTTTTTCTCCTATTTTTGGATTTCTAATCAAGTTATGTCAGATTTATTAATGTAGTGAATCATCTGATCTTCATTAAACAGGTGTAATTTTCATTAATATTAATTATTCGAATTCTTATATTCACTAAGGTGCCGCTGTTTGGGGTGGAATGATAGTTACGTCATCATTAACCTGCAGGCTGCATTCTGCTCACGTGGCTGCGAGAAAATAAATTAAAAGAGTGGAACTACTGCAAAATAATACTAATAAAGAGTGAGGCTATGGTCAAAAAAATAAATAAATGAAAAAAGTGTGACTGCTGAGAGTGCAAGCAGCTAGAGACACTGACCCTCACGGCCAAAAAAACAGACCGGCCCACCATGAATTCTCCCGGTCCTCCCGATTAGCCAATCCGGGCCTGGTGTATATTACAATGAGAGAATGGTTTTGGCATGAGGTGATGAGCTTGCATTGTGGTGATGGTTACGGTTTTCATCTTTAATAAATATAACTTCTTTGTATTTTTGTGCTTTTTTCTTTCTCAGAATTATCAGAGGATCATGAACAGGTATTTTGATTTCTGTTTTCCCCTTTGATTGTGCATGAGTGTTTACATAAAAAAGCTGATTCTTTAAGTCTTTCATCTGTGTGTGTGTGTGTGTGTGTGTGTTTAGGAGTGAGTACACACTCCCAGAACAGGAACTGAGTTCAGAAAGTCTTATCGATGTTTCCAAACATCTGGGCAACTTGAAGTATCAAGTGTGGGAGAAGATGAAGGAAATCTGCCCCTACTGTGAGTTCTAGACTGTTTATTGCTGTGTTATTGTTACACCAAGAGTCTGTTTCTCATTGGACTCATGTCAGTAGAAGGGTCTCCTGATTCAGTGTGTATCTCTACATTTTAAATGATTTGTTTTCTTAAAACGAACTATAAAATATTAAATTAACTATTTCGTTTTTAAGGACTGCTCAGTGTTTAGCACTGTGTTCTAACTAAATCTAAAATCACTGTGTTAAAACTAAATCTTCACCTCTTTTGACTGCTGAACTGCTCCATGATTGGGAGTTTGGGGACACATTTGCATTGACGCAGTAATCACGTTAGAATTGTTTTTGTAAGACCCTCACTATAGAATATCTGATAGATCATTTATAGAAGCTTCTAGATATTTACTAGGGACCCCCAGACTTCATGGGGCTCTAAGTTGATGCTTACCTTGCTTGTTGGTTCAGGGTGTCCTTGGAGTCTTAAAAAGTAAATTAGGTGTTTCATTCAGAAAGAAGGGGAAATGGGTTTGGAGAGAGTTATTACAACCTAACAGACTCCTCCTGCTCTGCATTTCTGTTTAATGTTAAAACTGACAGCTGGAGGGGCGTGGTTAAGTGTGTTAGCCACACCCAATACCTCAGACAGACCTAATCAGAGAATTTAACTGTAAACAAACAGGATGAGCATTTTCAGATTTCAGTTAAAGAGCAAACAGTTTTTGTTTTTAATGACCTGCACAGATGAATTTTTCACCACAGAACTAGCAATGTGAGCTAACAACTTCAATTTGGTTGGTTATGCACTTGCATATCTGACTGTTCGCTCTTTCCTTCAGACCCGGTGATCCTGAACCCAAACACTTCTGCACCACAGCTCTCTGTGTCAGACGATCTGACCTCTGTGACCTCATCAACCCATCGACAGAACCAAACCAGCGATCTTCCTCTGCACAGGAGCCGTGTGGTGCTGGGCAGCGTGGGATACAGTGATGGAGATCACACATGGGAGATTGAGGTGGGAAAAAGTCGACACTGGAGCCTCGGAGTGTGTCTTGAATTGAAGGGAAAACCCATTACGCAACCGTTGATCCCTGCAAATGGCTTCTGGGGTCTCAAACGTGAGGGATACATGTACCACTTGATGACCGCTGAGGCGTGTGAAATAAACATTAAGAGAAATCCTGAGGTAGTGAGAGTAAAGCTTGATTATGTGTGTGACGACACAATGGAAAAACAACGCTGGAGGAGGGTGAGCTTTATTGATGCCAGCTGTGATGCGGTTATTGAAAGATTTTCTAGAGTGCCGCTGCAGCATAAACTCTTTCCCTTTGTGATCCCAGAAGATCAGTCCATCCCGCTGCGCATCGCTCCGGCTAACATTATTCTGACCGTTGAAAAGAAAATGTCCTTCATGGAGAGACATGAACTCTTGATTAGGGTCTGTTTTGGTTTTGTCATGCTTATAATAATGATTCTCTTACCGAAGAATGAGCAGCGAGGCAAATAAAATATGAGTGCAATAGTCACACATACTGTAATTGTAGCTCAGATAACTTACAGAGAAACGTGCTTTGCACCTAAAAATGATCCTAAAGCATTCCCGTGTTTTATATACTGTAGTCAGCATTTGAAGTGGATCAAAACCTTTAATCAAAGTTGTCCTACAATGTTCGAACAACACCCGTTTCTTGTCTTAGGACAGTGGTTCTCAAACTGTGGTACGTGTACCACTAGTGGTACGCAGGCTTCCTTCTAGTGGTACGCGGAAGAATGAACACATTTCAAAATGTATTAAAAATGATGTATATAATATGCCATATATGACATATAGCCTGTATTTCTGAGGTAATCTGCCACGTTTTTTTAACTGTGCAGAGTTGTAGCTGCTTTACTGGGTCTACTACGCTACTGTATTTCAATACTGCTCATTTTGATGGTACTTGGAAAGACATTTTTTCTGGGGTGGTACTTGATGAAAAAAGTTTTAGGACCCCTGTCTTAGGACAATTTAGGAAAAACTTTTTGATGTTGATGACTGTATGTGATCACATATGTGGTGTCACTATTACAAGGCCTTCATTCATTCATTTCCCTTTGGCGACCCCTGAATAGGGATGCGACGGTTAACCGATTTCACTATTAACCGCGATTTACTTTGTCACGGTTAATTAATCGTAAAGGCTTCTCAACACCGTGTTCTTGCACGGAACAAAACTGCAGCAACTAAGCAAAGTTATGCCCACGGTGAGCTAGTTTGTACATCGAGACTAATAACCACACTGGACTAACTATGACTGAGGCTATTAACTAAGGCATGCTCGTTGAAGTTCGTTATTTCCAATGGAGGGATGTGCACGCAACGCGTTCACGCTTTTCAGGTGCACCTAATTGCGATGACAAGGGGGCTTTTGTGACCGGGGAACTGCATACGGCTGAAGTTTGAGGAGGAAGGAGTGGAAAGTACACCCACTTTAACCCACTTACAAATAATGGCGCCGATGAGAGCGATCATGTGGCGAGTGTTGATCCACCAGCTGAGATCAATTGAGTGTTTTCAGAGAGATTGCTTAAAGACTCAAGCCTGTTTCACTACGCAAGCGTGAGAAGCTAGTGTTTTTTTTTGGCCTCCATGTTAACAGATTAGAGCTTTCATACTTCACACAGCAGCACGTCAGCGTGAGCATCACTGAAGCTGCAGTGCCGTGACAGTTTTGGCGTTGGTCTATTTTTGCTGTGCTGCACGCGCTCAATTAAAGTGGTAATGCATTGATAATGACCAAAAACAAATTGAATGACAGTAAAAGTAGCAATTTTACCCTATAAATGCATCAATAATAATAATAATAATATTCACTGATATTTATATAGTCAATCAAATGAACTTTAAAAACGTCAACAAATATTTATTTAGGCCTGAACTACAAATACAAATTTAAAATAATTTTAAACTAGCGGGGTTTTGAAATCAATGAATGCAAATAATCGAGATAACCATAAAACTGTGATTATTTCTTAGACTATAATCGTATACCCAAAATTTATAATTGCATCCCTATCCCTGATGAACCGCCAACTATTCCGGCATATGTTTTACACAGTGGATGCCCCTCCAGCTGCAGCTCAGTACTGTCAAACATTACAGGGCAGTTTCAGTCTAATCCTGTCTTCTGTTCAGTTTTCACATTGTGTTGGAGGAGGGACTTTGTTTTCACAGAACTAAAATAAAATCAAGCTGTTAATTTTTGTTCTTAGTTCACTTAAAAAGGACAAATAAATATCTATAACTGCTTCTGTGATACTTTTTTTTATTTTGCTTGCATTTCTTCTGAGAAATCTAAAATAGAATCTCAAGGGGTATTTTATTGGAATTTATTAATTTGTTAGATTTTATTTATATATATATACACACACACACACACATATATATATACAGTGCATCCGGAAAGTATTTATAGCGCTTCTCTTTTTCTTTTTTTTTATGTTACAGCCTTATTCCAAAATAGATTAGATTCATTGATTTCCTCAACATTTTAAACACAATCCCCCGTAATGACAATGTGAAAAAAGGGTTTGAAATTGTGGCAAATTTATAAAATCAAATGTACATCAGTATTCACAGCGTTTGCTTAATACTGTGTTGATGCACCTTTGGCAGTGATTACAGCCTCACGTCTTGTTGAATATGATGCCACAAGCTCTGTCTTTAGGAGTTTCTGCCCATTCCTCTTTGCAGGACCTCTCAAGCTCTATCAGGTTGGATGGGAAGTGACAGTGTACAGCCATGTTCAGATCTCTCCAGAGATGTTCAATAGGATTTAGGTCTGGGCTCTGGCTGGGCCACTCAAGGACATTCACCGAGTTGTAGTTGTGCCACTCCATTGATATGTTGGCGGTGTGCTTTGGGTCATTGTCCTGCTGGAGGATGAAGCGTCGCCCCAGTCTGAGGTCAAGAGCACTCTTGTGCAGGTCTTCATTCAGGATGTCTCTGTACATCGCTGCATTCATCTTTCCCTCTATCCTGACTAGTCTTCCAGTTCCTGCTGCTGAAACACATCCCCACAGCATGATGCCAACACCACCATGCTGCACTGTAGGGATGCTGTCAGCCTGGTGATGAGCGCTGCCTTTTCTCCAAACTTAACACCTGGTATATTATAGTGTGTGTATACTGTATGTATGTATGTATATGTATTTATGTGTGTGTATATCTACAGTAGAAGTCAGAATTATTCGCCCCCCTTTGAATAGTTTTTTCTTTCCTAAATATTTCCCAAATGATGTTGAACATATTCAGGAAATGTTCACAGTATGTCTGATAATATTTTTTTCTTCTGTAGAAAGTCTTATTTGTATTATTTTGGCTAGGATAAAAGCAGTTTTTACATTTTTAACACCATTTTAAGCTCAATATTATTAGCCTCTTTAAGCTATTTGTTTTTGACTGTCTACAGAACAAACCATCGTCATGCAATAACTTGCTTAGTTACCCCAATTAACCTAGTTAAGCCTTTAAATGTCACTGTATGTGAAATTTAAATGTCAGCTGTATAGCAGTGTCTTGAAAAATATCTAGTAAAATATTATTTACTGTCATCATGACAAAGAGAAAGTAAATCAGTTATAAGAAATGATTGCGTTTGTGCGTGTGTATTACTGAATTCAAAACCCAATCAATTTGATTTGATTTACCAGTTTACTGAATGAGCAGACAAGGACAGATCCATCCAGTGATATTAAAGCCCAAGCAATAAAAATAAACTGTTTAACAACAGAGTAAAGAACCATTAACACCTTGAAGTACAGTAATTTTCCTACAGATTTCAGACTGATCCCCTGGAAACCACACAATCAGCCGATCATAACACAGTGAAAGATAACACATGCTATACCATTACTGATCATTAAATGAATCGATAATATGGTTGAATTAATTTCTGTTAAATGTAATAAAAATGATTACATGACGAATGACTAAAGAAAAGAATAAGAAAACACCCCAGATGAATAGAGAACGCCCCTCATTACAGTGTTTACAGTAGATTGAATAATCATTGTCTTCTAAGACCTTTCCAAAGATGAGTATGTTAATATAAAATCTGATAATACCTGTGTTTTTATTAATGACTTGTATTGAGGTAAAAAGGGCCTTCAGCATGGTGATGTACATGTTTTACTCTGATCACCTGTGCTGTTTCCCTCTGAAGCAGGTTTACTCTTCATGTCTTCACAGTCCAGGAAACAGGTAGAACCTCTTTGAAATGGACGTCCTTTCAATGCACGGCAAGAGTTTCGCCTGACCTTGGAAACGTTGATCTTTCTCCATACGCAAGGTGACCTATTAAAAATATATTGGAACATGTTTCTATCAACTCATATTTTAATGTTAACGTCTGTGAAGCAGGAGTTGCTGCAGACTGTATATCAGTGTGATGATGTATTCCCAACTAAAATGGAATATTGAGTAGGGGGTGGGGCTTTATTTTAGTGCCCCTCCTCTATTATTTCACTAACAGCATATTAACAAGTAAAGGGGTGTGGCTAGGCATAATTTACCCAATCCGAGTCATCAGAGAAGGACCGCTGTTCCAGAGGGGGAGCAGATGGTCAGATTTTGAAGACTTTAGTGTGTGAGAAATCCATAGACTGCAAAAGATTTGGACGTAGTGTCCGTGACGTCACCCATAGGTTGCTGAAGAACCCAAAAGAAGCAGTAGGCGTGGCCAACTGTTGCCATTTTGTTTGTGCGTCATCGTACTAACCAGGGGATACCAAATAAGCGCAAAGAGGCTAAGCGTGAGCAGAGCTACAGACACCTGCTGGCATTTAGCTTAGACTGGCTTTCCTATGGGAGAAACGCTGATTATGCGACTCGCTTGTGTCCTGACCACATGTGCTTGGTTGTTTACTATATTAATAAAGTGTTAAGTCTTTTTTAAAACACTGCTGTAATACATTGAGCCACTAAACATTGGTCTTATGACGTTTTTCAACAAGAGGAAAACCAAATGACTTCCAAACACTTTAGATATAGTCTGTTAGTAAATGCAAGGCTATTGATGAAATCCAGCATAACACTGTATGACAACGCGTCAGATGACTGATCTAGAGCCTACAGCTAATCAATCTGTCAGATTCTGGAGTGCTTTACAGCTCTAAAGAACATTATAAATGATAAATGATCTTAAATAAAACATATACATTTATAGAGATGGTATATACGCATATAATTTCACTCAGCTGGGAAATGGAGGCCCCATGAATGGTTTGTGAGCACAATTAAGTGCACACAGCATGCCATGCCATCTGATAAATGCAGGAAACAATTCTAAAAGGTAGTTGACTGTGTAAAGCCACAGAAAACAAAACAAAACTATGATTTATATGCCGAGCTCAGCAATTAATCAGCCAGAGTCAGCTGAGGTGATGTGATGGCAACCAGCAAGATTTATCTGTCACTCAAGTGGCCAGTCCCTTAATTATGCAGACTTAATATAACCTAATATAAAGGAAAAGGATGAGTTTGAAAATTCACCCCCCTCACAGTTGTCCGAAGCCCTGCACAGTTTAGTTCCAACCCTGCTCCAACACACGTACCAGTAGGTTTCAAACAAGCCTGAAGGACTCAATACGTTTGATCAGGTGTGTTTAATTAGGGTTGGAACTAAACTGTGCAGAGCTGCAGCCCTCCAGGAATTGAGTTTGACACCCCTGACGTAAGGCTAAGGGGAAGGGGTAGATATCCCTTAGAACGAAGATTTTTCAGGACCACACTCAAAACCATGGGGTAAGACAATTTCCCAGAATACACCAACCACAACAGTAGAATAGCTGCACTCGGAAGTAAGGAGATCCACACATTAGTATTTTTTGTCATTATTTTGAATGTTTATAACAAACAAACACATGATTCAATATATTCATAACCGTGTTTCGGAACTGAGTTTGACACCTGTGCCCTACGCCTTCAAGCTAAAGAAAATTGGGACACCCATAGGTAGGGGCTAAGGTGTAGAATTGGGATTGGGCCTAACTGTTAGTTTGCTATGAGGGAATGATGTTCAAAAGAAAGCCCCGCCCCCTACTCAATATTCAGTTTCAGTTGGAAGCGCACTAACATACTGAATTTAGTTTCACACAGACTTAAAAAGCAGCAAATCCATTCATTTTACCTGAGCAGAGCACTTGGAGTGAAGAAAAAAAAATCTAAAGGGTTGTTCTGAGGGAAATTAGATGGCAAGTTCAGCATTTACCTTCCTAAACAGCTCCATAATGTCATCCCTGTGGGCTGACGAACAGAACACATCCACTATGTAGCTGATAAAAAAACTTCCCTCGATTGGATTCCTGTATGCGAAAGTATCTGTGGAAATGACACAACGGCAGGTTAATAAATTCACTAAGCAAACTTTGCTCATAGTCATACAGTGCGTCCGGAAAGCATTGATAGCTTCTTGATATTAGAGCTGTTTGATATTTGGACTAGAAACAAGACCCAAACTCAAAGTAATAGAAGCTTTTTTTTGCAGTGAATATGCGCAAGATGAACAGACGCCACACATCAGTGTTTTCAGTGTGTGTTATTAGCAAACTTACTAGGCATGGTGGACATAAAACAGACAAAGTCTTTCTCCATGTGCACCCACGAGTCCGATGCAAACACAGAATCTTGAGCAAGCACGCCACTGGATTGTCCTGGACACAGAAACGGTTCACAAAATTACTGTTCACACAGACATGCGCAAGCAAAACAACATCTGCGTTTGATCAGCGGTGTCGTACCTCCTCTGCAGGCCTGAATCAGGATAACCTTGGGTTTGTCGATCAGAGCCGGACAGTTCACAGAGTTCAGATGGGAGAAAGTTTCTTCAATAAAGTAGACGTCGTCACTGACACCTACAATGGCATCTTTATTGTCAATTCTAGTCCCGTGAGACATGATGACGATAAAGGTGCTGTCTGCGTCTTCATGTTCACGACGTTTAGAGAAATTCTCGACTGCTCTCCTGATGTCCTGAAAATTAATATAATATTTTAATAATGCTTGGTATAGCAAACAGCCCACTTTAAAAGGGGGAGTTAACAACAAACATTCATTCATTCCCTCTTTTATCAGGGAGATTTATAAATCTTACGCACTTTTCCACTGAGATTTCTGTATTTTATAACTGCGAAGCCCAGAGATCTCAGCAGCCACTCCGCGTTCTCCTCGTCTCTGTCCGCTCCGTTTCGGTTGTGTTGTGTATTGGCGAATTGTATGTTGGTGATCAACAGAGCCAAGCCTTTCCTTTGAGTCCCGCTCCTCGGTGTGTAAATCTATACAGAAACAAATCAGAATTACACAAGATTACATTAAATAAACCGAATCAGAACCCTTAAGATTGCCTCGCAGTGTGCAGAGCTGGCGGATTACTGATGAATCTGCCAGCTCAAAAAATGATATCACTTTATTGTGTTGGTCCATTTGAGTATTAGTAGACTGTCGGCTTAATATCTGCTGATACTGATGACATTTAACAGACTATAAGAAACTTTGCAAGTACATGCCAACTTACACTAACCCCAACCTAAAGCCAGCTTTCCACTGCACATGACATTTGGTGTTGGAATATCTTGCCAATGCCATGCGTGTTCAATAAGAAAAGGTCTGGAGAGGGTTTTCTTCAATGCCAAAAATATTAGCAATTTATTAGATACAAATGAATAATTTGATGACAGAGCTCTGGGTTACATTACCCCAATGCAATACAAGAATTACATTCAAGAGGTTCACAACTAACATACATTTCCTGACTCCAGCATATATACACAACTGATATTAACAGGTGGAGTTTTGGTTTAACGTCACTTATCAGTCATTCTGCAGTCCCTTGGCTCTTTGTAACCCCAAGACATTACTTTCTCTTTCTGCAACCTTTCTCTGCATACCAGAACTGAACAATTACGTGCATCTTTCATATATTCCACACTTCTACAAGCATAGTCTAGACAGCAGTCTGGAACAAACCGAAATTTATTCTTATTCTGCTTTTTCCACTTGTCAGCAGTTCTTCTAAGTATGCAGCACAGTAAAAAAGAGGATGTGTCTAGTCAAGATGTTTTATAATACAAAAGAGAAAGATTGATTAATCAGTTGTTAGTCTAAACATTTTCTAATAAAAAAACACAAAAGTAATAAAAATAAATTTATTTTCTCCAACATTTGGACATGACTGTCGGAATACGCCCCCTTGTGGCAATCGATTTTTCAGTTTTGTCGTGCACCATGGGAGAGAAGCTGATATATTATAGAGCCTTTATTCTCTGTGCGTTCACCATGGTTGAATGAATGAATACTAGAAACTAAACAGCTAAAATATTGAAGGGAATGTGGAAACAACACATAAAATAATATGCTTTATTACTCATTTATGAATAGAAATGCAGTTTTTAATATAGACTTTTTCTGACTCAAAAAATTCTCATCTCGCGCGCACGGATCCCCTTGGACAACACTGAAATACATCACATCCTGTCGGCCGGTCGCATACGGTCTTGTAGAAGGAGTTCAAATATTTCAACGAATCCGCAAATCAAATCGGATCCAAATTTTCCGCATGATGATCGGAACTCCCGGACTACTCTCTATTGGAAATGAATGACTTCCGATCTGTCGCTTGTCGTGTACAGTGGAAAGGAGGCTAAACAGCCTACATAGCAAAGTTTCTCTGGCTCACACATTCAGTTTTTGCTTGGCCCACATGTCGTAGTGAATTTCGGTACATAACTGGACCAAGTCTGGCTTCCATACAAGGGCCAAACATGGACCATATCTGGGCCAAGTCTCAGCCAAGTTAACAACCCTAGTAGCAAAGAATTCTGGCCCAGATTTGGCATAAAGCTGGCACAGCAGGCATTCATCCGGCACTGGCATACAGCATGTGGGCCAAACATGGCCCGGGTTTGGCAGAGGTGGCACCGTTTTTAAGGCGGCACACAAGATTTGGGCCAGATGAAAAACGTAGTATTTGGCCCAGATTTAAAAATTTGATAAGTGGGCCATGTGAGTTTGGCCAGTCTTGACCCACATTTAAAATACACTAAAATCATTTTTGAGTAAAGAAAAAAAATTCTACCAATCAGGTCACTTTTGAAAAAGCGTGCCCATAGTGTGCCTAAAGAGCATCACTCCATGCGTTTATCAATTTCATTGCAATCGTGACACACCAACCTATCTGGCCCAGTTCAGGCCCAGTTATGAGTTATTAACTTGGCTGAGACTTGGCCCAGATATGGTCTATGTTTGGCCCTTGTCTGGAAGCCAGATTTGGTCCAGTCATGTACCGTAATTCACTGCCGCATGTGGGCCAAGCAAAACCTGATTGTGTGGGCCAGAGCTGGGCCAGAGAAATTTTGCTATGTGGGAACCCATAACTGGGCTAAATATGTTGGTGTGCCATGATTGCAATGAATTTTGATAAACCAATGAAGCGTTTCGCTTTTGGCATGCTTTTTCTCGAAGCAACCTAATTGGAATTTTTTTTTTCCTCAAAAATAAATTAAATGTTTTTGAAAAGTGGGTCATTCTACGTCAAACTTACGTGGCCCACATTTAAAAAATTTTTTAACATCTGGTCTAAATACTACTTTTGATATCTGGCCCAAGTCTTGTGTGCCTCCTTAAAGACGGCGCCACCTCTACCAAACCCAGGCTATGTTTGGTCCACATGCTGTATGCCAGTGCCAGACAAACGCCTGCTGTGCCGGCTTTATGCCAAATCTTGGCCAGAATTCTTTGCTTCCTCTACTTATAATCTAATTAGAATTACTTGGCATGTAGATGCAATGTCACTTAAATTCACCAACCGGATTCTCAAAATACAGCGTGACCCACAAAAATAATGGTGATGAAAACCGACTGTGTTGTTGCCTCGGATGTTTTTTGTGCGAAATTCTCAATGGCTGACTGTTGGTTTGGTGTGTCCTGGCTCTTAGGACGCGTGTCCACCGAAGTGTTTTTCTTGAGCTGGGATACGCTTCCGAAAACCACCGCTAGCCAACTAAAGTCGCAAGTTGTGTCGTTACAAACATATTATGTTGAATTAGTATTTCCCAAATCCGTCATTCCAACAAAAATTCGCAAACTGCCTCGCAAACTTCTACGCTTGCAACTACACCTCTGGAGCTGTAGTTAGAAAGAGAGTTCCTGGATGTGTTCTATTACCACTTATCCCCCCTGTGCCCTATTTATTCAGAACATTCTAAACATTTAAACATGTTAAATAAAGCATTAAAGTCACCTCTTTTAGGTGTAATTTGCTTTCAAAGTATTTTAAAGTTTATGTTTACAGTTGCGCTCCCTTCGCAGTGCACTTTGAAAGCATTGATGTCATTTAGAACACAGCCGTGACTTATGATGAAAGCTATAGGTGACCTGTTATTTAAAAGCCGAATGTATGTTACGTCTGGAAATCTTGTGAAAACAAAAAACACACATATATAATAATGCTTTTCATTTATAGTAGGTTATTGATTAAGTATCTGTCCTGTATATGACATGGACCTGCTGGATAGAACATCTCTACAGTGGTTAAAACTGTCAAATTGTAAAAGTAGACTTATCAAAAAAATAAATGGTCTCACTTTATATTAAGTGTCTTTAACTACTATGTACTTACATCAACAAAATAAATACAATGTACTTACTGTGTTTATAATGTATTTGAGAACACTTGTGGTGCTTTTGAGTTGGGATCGAGGTTGGGTTATGGACAGGTTTGGTGGCATGGGTAGGTTTAAGGGTGGGTTAAGGTGTAGGGAATGGTCAACAGTGTATTTACAAATGTAATTACAAACGTTAATTACAGATGTAATTACATACATGTATTTAATCAAGCATAAGTACACAGTAAATACATGTATTTACACTAAGTACATTGTAACAAACTATTAATTCCTGTGTAAGTACATATTTGTTAAGTCCACTTAATATAAAGTGGGACCAAATAAATAAATAAAATAAACAATATCCTACTTGATAATGATAGTAATAATCGTCATCATCATCATTAATATTAGTAATAAAGTAAGATGTTTTCATTTCCCACTGTCACCTAAAGCAGAACTTCACTATAGTGGCTGTCTGAAAGCAGTTCGGACGATTCTGAGTGTGCTCTGCTCATAAAAGTTAATCAAAATACTTGCATCGTCTCCGTGTGCTTTAAGAAGTGTGTTTTTAGTCTCTTGACTGCAGGGAATGATCTGCCGTGGTCTCTGCCAGTCAGCCTGGATGGGTTGGAGATCCTCAGACCCGGCATTGTTGATGGGCTGCGAGATGATCTGCTGGATGGGCTGCGAGATGATCTGCGGGATGGGCTGCGGTTCTTCAGAGTTTTGCTTATTTTCTTGCCCCTGCGACTGAACTAAAGACAGAAAGCACAGCTGTTGTTGTGAATTGTAAAACAAGCATGTTATTCATTTATATTCATGTAAATGTATATATGGAAAGAGTGCTTAAAGGGTCACGAAACGCCAGAACACAATAGTTGAACTGTTGAGAGTCATATATGTGTCCCGCGCTGCTAAAAACTTTACGTATATTTTTGCATTATTGGGTGAACTGTCTCTTTAACTAAAACCAAACCAATTTTTATTTTTCACCTTTCAGCAGATTGGACTCGAGCCGCTTTGCACGTTCGTTCTGCTTGATTTTGCGCAGTGTCTGTACTGTGATTGTCCCGGCATCCTCGCTGTACTGCTGAACCATGCTGTCCACCACATCCTGACGGTCCTTATTCTCCAGCTTTCCCCGAGGAATGGGTTCGACGCCTGGTTTCACACCGATCCACAGCTGCCTGGTGAACTGTTTGAGCTCTGACTCCACAAGATCCTCGAGCACATCAGACAGCAGCTGGGTAATATCCTCCATTTTCTGTCACTAGGAGAAAAAACATCACTGTGAGTGTGAGAATGCACTGGCAGATTGCCGAATCAAAACCAGTCCAATACTGAATCTGAAAGCATGGTCAGGTGCCATATTGTCTGGTGTCACTCATTTAAGAACAGACAACAGAGAAGAACCCATCTCAGGAGAACCGAGGGCTAGTTTGTTTGACTGGTTTTGCTGATATGTCTACAGCAGATGTTCTGGGGAACCCCTATTTGGGCACAAATTTTGGTAATGTGGTTGACCAACAATGGTGCTCTACAAGCCTTTCGACAGCAAACCGTGCCTCACAACACATTTTTGCATGACTCCTGGGTCATGTGCTCCATGTCCATCCTGTTAGATGTACACTTTTGCAGAGACAAACCAGATCACTTAAAAGCCTACTGCAACTATAAAGCTTTGCTTTTGCCTTGCTCTCGGACACACACACCGACAAGCAATTGGGTCACAGTGAACTTTCCATGCAACCTCATATGGCCCGTTTCCACTGAGTGATACGGTACAGTATGGTTCAGAATGCTTTTATGTCTGTTTTCACTGTCAAGGGGTACCAAAAAAAGAAACTGTACTGTACCACTTTTTGGGTTCCCTTTCCAAAAGGGCACCAGCACAACAAATGCATACCAAAAGGCAGAGCTTGAAGCACAGCTGAATGCTATTGGTTTACAGAGAAACGTCATTAGCGCGTGTACAAGCCAGGACCCAGATAGCATACGATCGTGGGCCACTTTAGGCAGTTATGCGGTGCTGGTGGTCTTCCTTCGGCCCAGACAAAATTAATGTGAGCCTGAAGTGGCCCATGTGGAAAATGATACATTTGGCCCAAATGATTGAGGACAATAGTAGGCCGCAGTTGGCAAAATAGTGGCTTAGTCATTTAAGGGTAATCTGGCCAAGTTATCTTAAGACATATGTGGGCCACTTTTGGCAAATATTTGGCACAGTAAGCTCTGGCTATTGCGGCTGTGAGCCCAATGTGGCCCAGAGAAGATATGGCAAAAGTGGCCCAGGTTTTTTAAAACATATGTGGGCCACTTTTGGCAAATATTCGGCACAGTAAACTCTGGCTAATGCAGCCATTTGTTTAAAGTGGCCCAGAGAAGATATGGAAAATGTGGCCCAGTTATCTTAAAACATATGTGGGCCACTTTTGGCAAATATTCGGCTAATGTTCTGGCTAATGTGGCTATGAGCCTATATCGGCCCAGAGGAGATGAGGCAAAAGTTACCTTAAAACATATGTGGACCACATAGACTAAAGTCCCCATCATGGAGAAAAGTGTTTGCTTTAGTTGGGCTCATAGCCCTGAACCTCTTAATATAAGTTTTCTTTTAAAAACTTTGCTTAAAGTTTATTCATTGCAGAAAACAAGCCAAGTAAAAAAGTGAGGCACAACCTGGAATGAAATAATATAATTCACTGATGTTTACCAATGTTTAATCCATTATTAGAAGTAATAAGCCAGATCTGGACCAGAATAAAAGCAAACTGTGGCCTAGAAAAGGGTCAGTTCTGAGTCATTAGGTTGAATTCTGGCTAATATGTGGTATTGGTTTGGCTTATTTGTGGCCCAGATTTGACAAACAGGAGCGGACCACCCTAGAGCCATCATCCCATTCAGTATGTGGTCCAGATGTAAGTGTCTGATGTGGGCCGGATCTAGGCCAATATAAAAGCAAACTGTGGCCCGGAATAGGGTCAGTTCTGGTTCATTAGGTTGAATTCTGGCTGAATACTGCTATGGCTTAATTGTGGCTCAGATCTGGCAAACAGGAGCGGACCGCCCAGGTGCCATCATTTCATATGGTATGTGGGTCGGTTGTAAGTGTCTGGTGTGGGCCGAATTTGAGCCACATGAATTTTGCTAGCTGGCCATTTTTAAATGCACAGCCGAGGCATTACACCGTACTAATCACTGTCTCATTTCAGAGGCTGCATCCTCCGAAGGGTGCATTCGAAGTGTGCTTCGTTATCGCGGCGTGACGAAGGCTGACTCATTTCAAAGAAATTCGAAGGCACCTTCAAATGCAGCTTCAAAATGCGTCCCAAGTAATGAAGAACCCAACCAGTGGATCCTTCGCAACCTCGAACGTCCCAAGATTCACTGCGCACTGATAACGGCAGGATGTTTTAAAAGAAAACTCTGGACTAAATGTTTGAAATAGGTTTTATTTTAATTGGATGTCTAAACACATGTTAAAAAGCAAAAAGAGCATGACGGGTCTTACTAAAGAGTGATTTTACAGACAGTTTTCATTAATATGTGTTCGTGTATGGATCAAATAAATTATATTTCCAGCTTTTATAAACCCTGTTTTGCCCTCAGATCACTTAAAATAAGTTTTAAAATCATCATTACAAATTTGATCATCGCCTATAAACAGCAGCTGTTACGGTTTCCTGGTGATGAGATCTGTCCTCTGTAGGCTAGATCATCTCATTGCAAAACGCTCGGTTCAGCCTGTGTGAACTTCGTAGGACTCCTTTAGAGGATGCAGCCTCTGAAATGAGACACAGCTAATATAGACATATAATAACGAGCCATGGTCAACCTAAGCTCAAAGACACCTTGTTGTCGTTTTAATGAACACCCACAAAGCCAAGAGGAGCAGTATCTGGCGTGTGTCCTGCTGTTGTTTACGAGGCCGTCTAAAATCACGAAAAAAAAGCTCTTTCTAGATGTACTTGAAACTTCCAAATAGGTGTGTTTAAGGAAAGTTGTAGCTAAAATATGCTGTGAACGAGTGTGAACGAGTTTGGGCTCGCCTGCTTTAGATAAGCCTGTGTAGAGAAGCTCCTGAGGGGTTATTTTGACTTTCTCAGACATGTCAAGTGCACAAGTCTCTTTATCTCATACACACTAGGCATGGGATGATAACCATTTTCATGGTATGCTGTGGTCTGGAAACGTTTTTTTTTTTTTTTTTTATATCGTTCCTAAAGTATGTGAGGGTTTTTTTTTTTTATTTAGGTTTTTATATTAGGACAGAAGTATCTCCAGCTGAAGAGATATGCAAAGATGCCGTTTTAAATTGTAAAGAAATCTGTGCTTATGGAAACTAATGAAGACCGCAGAAGTCAATGATTTGTTTGAATTATTTAGCCTGACATGTTTACTGCCAGCTAAACTGCATTTAAAAGCAAGAAACTTTTTTTTTTTGCACTGAAATTGATGTTCAAGAGCAAAAATGTCACAAAACCAGCAACACTCAAGAATGCAGGATTATCTGCTGTCATGGCTTTACAGTCAAGAATTTGAATATAATGGAAGTCAATGGGGCAAAAACAGCACCAACGACAGCATTAACCCTTTTAAAAGGTACACGTGTCTACACGATTTCTGATTTTATGTTTTTTGGTGGGAGATTAGCGACTAATTCAGATGTACAGTTGAATTATTCGCCCCCTGTTTAGTTTTTTTTTTTTTCTTTTTAAATATTTCCCAAATACTGTTGAACAGATTCAGGAAATGTTCACTGTATGTCTGATAATATTTGTTCTTCTGGAGAAAGTCTTATTTGTTTTGTTTTATTTCGGCTAGAATAAAAGCAGTTTTTTATTGTTTAAACACATTTAAAGGTCATTATTATTAGCCCCTTTAAGCTGTATTTTTTTTTCTGATAGTCTTCAGAACAAACCATCATTACACAATCACTTGCCTAATTACCCTAACCTGCCTAGTTAACCTAATTACCCTAGTGAAGCCTTTAAATGTCACTTTAAGCTGTATAGAAGTGTCTTGAAGAGTATCTACACTGTAAAAAATGTCCATGATTTTAACAGTAAAAAACTGTAAAAATGCTACAGTACAAATACGTAAGCTGGTTAACGGTATGTTTCCTTAATATATACGGCGAATAACCGTAAATTGACTTTTCCCTGCATGGCACATCACTTTATATGCATTTTGTTGACATTAACATGGATATTTTTAGTTGTTTCCCCATCATATATGTACATTAGAGATTTATTTTGCATCTAATGTTGATAAACAATGTTTATTTCATGACTTTAGTTTTATGCATGTTACCATACTGGTGTTCAGTAGCTGTGTGAATGGCACTGAGCACCTTCTTTATGCTGATACTCTTTTCTGCTTGTGGGAAAAGGTGATTGTGATGAGCATTGGCTCATTATGTAACTTCCTCCTCACCACCTGCATGTGGATGTGCTAACATGTCTAACTGTGTACCAAAAGATGTGTAGATGTTGATCATTCAAAATACAGACATATTACCTCTATAAATGTATAAAATACGGTAGTTTACCGTAAAAACGAGAAATCACTTTTACGGTTTGTACCGTGTTTTTAACGGTAAAGTACTGGCAACCACAGCTGTCGGTATTTTACCGTAAATTTTACAGATTTATTTTTTACAGTGTAGGATAATATTATTTACTGTCATCATGACAAAGATAAAATAAATCCGTTATTAGAAATGAGTTATTAAAACTATTATGTGCTTTAATGTGTTGTAAAAATCTGCTCTCCGTAAAACAGAAATTGGGGAAAAAAATAAACAGGCGGGCGAATAATTCAGACTTGAACTGTACAGTATGTGCTGTTTCTGTGTGTGCAGTCAGACAGTACAAGCATTTTTGAGTGTAAAATAACTTTGCTAAAGAGCATCACTGCTTTGTTGACAGACATGGATCAGATTTGCATATTACTGCTGTTTTCAGTTTTGCCTCAGGCTGTTGGTGAAAAGACGCTTCTGAAAAAAACAAGTTTGGCTTGTTTAAACTATTTGCCTTCGTGGAATACGGTCCAGACTAGTCTTTTTCTAAGATTTCCAAGATATGCACTGAGATTCTTCTGCATGCCAAGTCTGCATTTGGCACGTAGGCTGTATATTAGTTCATGTTAAATCCATCAAGTGTAAAATGTGCATGTTGTACTGTGGTGATGGAAAGTTATGTTAAATTAATTTCTTGATGATCACATTTGTACTGTATCCTATTAAGGAAGCACATTGAGGCCAAATAAACCTCGAAAGCATTTTCCAAACTTTAAGTAAGCTAAATCACAATTTTACTGACCTATTAAATAAAGTGAAAGTAAACAGATTAATCTGTAAAAGACTTGCAGATCAACACATCATGTAATTATATTTTTAATTCATTAAAAATTGTTGAAGTAAATGTACAGTAGCTTCATTTCTTTAGGCTTACACTCCCTGCAGACCCAGCCTAGATTTTAATTTTTTAATTGAATTTTTTTTGTTTATTAATTGTTTTAATTGTTGTTTATTAACTATTTATATCTTATCTGAAGCAAAATCGAGCTTCTGTTCAGTTCTGATATGAGTTATGGCCTAGCAAATCATCAAGCACATGAATTTGCCCTTACAAAAAGATCAAGCTGTGTCCTTTTGCTCAGCTCACTGAATAACTGTGCATTAATAACACTGTACTGTACATGTAATGCTGCTTTAATTATGATTAATCCCATTAATATTTGCATTAGTCAACAGTAAAGCAGCTTTAAGTGATCTGTATCTTATAAAATGCTAGAAAACTTAACATGTTCTACTTACATGCTGCTTGAAGAGTGTTCTTGTGACTACACGCTCAGTCTCAACTGTCCTGTACTTTTGTCCTAAACCCCACCCCAGAAGGTTTCTCCTGTAAACTCTCACACAGTTTTTTTTATCTCTCCTGCAGTGCTTTTTTCCTCTTTTTTTTCTTTTTGCACACTTCCGCCAGCATGATTTTTCACCAATAAAGAAAAGAAGATAGTTTGCCACCCTTAATGTATAAGAGGAGCTCTAAGTGCATTCATGAACACAGTAGTTGTGAGTAAATGTTGAATCAAGTACAAACCCAGCCAGTCTACTTACAGCAAAGCGAATTAGGAAATGTACAGCTTCACATCCTCATTCTGTGAAATTTAAAACCACAAAATACAGTATTTCTCATACCTGTGGAGACTCGAAAGTCACTCGAAACCAGTTGGTATTATGAAATAACTGTACATAAAGAGTTTAACTTTGTTATGAATGCAATCACAAAATCATAGCATAAGTGAATTTCAATGAATGAATTAATATAAAAAAATAATTCGCACAAATAAACACAGCTAATGCTGCTCCTCTGCATGTTTAAACAATTCACTTGTGTATGTAGCAGTGTTTGGTAAGCCGATTACACTAGAGACGTGTTGATTTTACATGTTTAGTGTTGACATTTTGAGTGAACAGTCAAAAAAGATGAATTATTTTCCTCATTATTACCATCATAATGAAGATTTATGTGTTTGTTGTGAATATGTCAAGCACCAACCCAACCAGGCTACTTACAGCAAAGCAAATTAGGAAATGTACAGCTTCACATCCTCATTCTGTGAAATTAAAAACCACAAAATACAAAATTTCTCTCACCTGTGGAGACTGAGCTTACTCAAAACCAAACACAAGACTGTACTAGTTTAGTAATAATTGTCATTATTGAAAATATGTGTGCAGAAGACCAGCATTTCAAGTCATTTTAGCCAACTTGGACCAAAAACTGTTCTTTTATTTTTTAATTTTGATTGATGCTTACAGTTGAATTCAGAAGTTTATACACTGTATAAAAAGGCACATAACCATTTATAAAAAGTCAGATGTTAATGTGTTTAGCTGGTTAGGCTGGAAAATGACCAGCTAAAACCAACTAAAACCAGCTTGACCAGCCTAGTTTAAGCTGGTCATAGCTGGTTTTGGCTGGGCTCCCAGCCTGGCTAGGCTGGTCAAGCTGGTTTTAGCTGGTCATCTTCCAGCCTGTCCAGCTAAGACCAGGCTGGAAATGACTGAAAACCAGCCCGGAAATGGCCAAAACCCCTCTAAAACCAGCCTGGTCGACCAGCTAAAACCAGCCAACCAGCCTGGTTAAGCTGTTTTTTCAGTTCCTCTGTTGAGCCTGTGATGATGCTCTGCGCCACTAGAGGGAGCAGCTAAGTTTGATTTTTATATCCTGTTAAAGACACCTTAAACCAGGTAAAGTGAAAGTTAAAAGGAAAAGTCGCCATTTCAATGCTTTCCTCTCAGTAAACCTGGACGGACACATTTTGTGGTAAGTTTAAATGGCCTATACTTAATGTAATCTCGTCATGTAAAATGTGCTGCTATTTATTTATTTATTTTAGTCTGCATGGGATTCAAAACGCGAATCATATAGCCTGCTTTGGTATTTCTTTTTGCAAACTAGCGTTAACCAAAATGGCGGAAGTGTTTGCGTTCGACTTGTTAATAATGTTTTTATCCCGCTCTCTTTGTTTTATAAAATGTATGTACTTAAAGACACAATACTAAACATAAATTTAAGGTATATGATCTCAACAAAACCCTATATGTGAGGTTTATATGAGGATTCCGGTACGTCACATCACACATTCTTATAATAGTATTCAAAAACAATTCAGTATTGTGTACTTGCATGCACAGAGATATTTTAATAAATATGCTAATGCTAGGTCTGTTGCCAAAGAGATCGAGGATTGTCGTTAAGCTTGATATTAATTAGTAGTAGTACTAGTATGTCTAAATTCGACACTGCAACATCATTGTTAAAATGCATTCACATGACCACGAGTTTTAATAAGGTATTTTAATATTTTTTATGTCTAGATTTGCATTCATGTCACAGACTTGTGAACTTTATCTCTAAAATAGTAAATTTATATATAAAAAAACGTTTTCTGTATAAACAGAAATAGAAATATATTTGCTATATATAATGATGCTATAAAGATTTAATTATATTTTATCCATGTCATTTTTTCTTTTAGCATTTTTTTTTTGTAATGATTATAATAAAGAAAACAAAATCTGCAGTCTTTTATGATGTTTGTTTTCGTCCAAAGTAAAATTTTAGACAGGCCATTAATGTTTGCAAAGACCAAAAGAAGTTATGAATAGACCGCTTCTTTTATAATGGCTTAAAGACAAAAACACAGATTATAAAGGAGCAATTCCAGCATTATGGATGTGACATTTGCAGTAAAAACTCAAAACATAAATTCATAGAGAAAGTATTCGTTGACATTATATTGAAACATCTGTTTAAATTTCCCAAAACTACTCGCCAAAGAGTTATGGGTTTAGAAAAATATCAATCTGTGAACATATTTTATTTTTTTAAATGAGGAAAATAACCATGCGTTATGGATGTGACAAATAAGTCTGCGAGTTAGCAGCATACAACATGCTTTGTAGAAAACAGCAGAAAAGCATTCATACGAAGGTAAGAGCTAGTGAGCGTGAAATGGAACAGCGTCATAATGCCCCATAGCGTTTGTTTTAAAGACGAAATGCAGCCATATGTATTTTGCAATCTCCAGAAATGTATATTGGTACATTTTCAGAATGTTGGGTTATTGTTTGTGAAGAAAATATATTATTTGTGTTTATGATCCACAGAACTATAGAAACTGTGTAAGTTTTACAAAAAGAGTATCTGTATCAGTGCATAGTCAGAATCTTTTGTATCTGGATCAGATTGGTTCTAAAAAAAATGTTAATGATGCATCCCTAATTTCTTTGTAATTATGGGGTGGGTAATTATTTAACTGTAGTGTAATTCACATTAAGAAGTATCCTTGTGTCAGGAGAACTCTTGTGTTACTCCATATAATGTCTTCAATACTCTTTCAGTAAATGAGAGCAGGTGAACACTAAAATGAGTCAAAAGAAGAGTGAAGATGTTGATTCTGACTCTGAAATGAATTCTGTATCTCCTGGATCAGCATGTGAATCTTTAAAAAGTGATTGGTCTATGGAGAAGACTCCTCCTAACCTTGGGTAAGTTATTTTCAGCATTGACAGAAGAGTTTGTCTGAAATAAAGGCACTTTTCACAACGAGTAAAAAGCCAACTAATTTCTATTAATGCAGCTCTTGTCTCTATTAATAGTTACATTAACAAATCTCTGTATTAATTCTGCAATCTGTACACATGATTTTGAAATGTTCTTCACTTATTATTGAATAAACTAATATCTATAGAGTATTAAAGCTTAATAGTAAGTGTGTGTAAAATGTTTTAAATTGCTCTTATGTAATCATCAGCGACAGAAAAAGACAGAGATCACAGTCTCCAGAACCAAGTGGTGTCTCTAAAAAGAGAAGCAGATCAATGACCCCACCATCGGACTTCAGTGATAAACCAGTGACATTTGACTCGATGATGAAAATAAAATTACAAAAAATTAAAGACCAGCACAAAACCAGCATGAAGAACAAGTATGAGAAAATATTTGAAGGAAACAAACTCAATCAGAATGAAACCCTCCTGAACCAGATCTACACCCAGCTGTACATCATAGAGGGAGAGAGTGAAGGAGTGAATGAAGAACATGAGGTTTTACAGATGGAGAAAACAGCCAGAACAAAACACTCCCAACACACTCCAATCTACTGCAATGACATCTTTAAAGAGGAGAAAGAGCAAATCAAGACTGTTCTTACTAAAGGCATCGCTGGAATCGGAAAAACCGTCTCTGTGCAGAAGTTCATTCTGGACTGGGCCGAGGGAAAAGCCAATCAGGATGTAGATTTCATGTTTGTGCTTCCATTTCGAGAGCTGAACTTGATCAGAGATCATCAGTACAGTCTTCACACACTTCTGCTGGACTTTCATCCTGAACTTGAAGATCTGGAGCCCAAGATTTATGAGGAGTGTAAAGTTGTGTTCATCTTTGATGGTCTGGATGAAAGCAGAATCACACTGATGTTTTCAGACGCTCAGAAAGTTTGTGATGTGACTGAGACTTCATCAGTGGCTGTGTTGATGTCAAAGCTGATGAAAGGAGAGCTGCTTCCCTCTGCTCTCATCTGGATCACCTCCAGACCAGCAGCAGCCAATCAGATCCCCTCCAAATACATCAAGCGTCTGACAGAAATTCAGGGATTCACTGAGCCTCAGAAGGAGGAATATTTCAGGAAGAGAATCAGTGAGCAGCATCAAGCCAGCAGAATCATCTCACACATCAGAAGAGCAAGAAGCCTCCACATCATGTGCCACATACCCGTCTTCTGCTGGATCTCATCCACTGTGCTTCAGAAGCTCCTGGAAGAAGATCAGAGTGCAGAAATCCCTCAAACTCTGACTGAAATGTACATCCACTTCCTGCTGATTCAGATCAACATGAGGAATCAGAAGTATGAAGAGAGAGATCCAGAGAAACTCCTGCAGTCCAACAGAGAAGTGATTGTCAAACTTGCTGAAGTGGCTTTCAGACAGCTGATGAAGGGCAATGTGATGTTCTATGAGGAGGACCTGATTGAGAGCGGCGTAGACGTCTCTGACGCCTCAGTGTATTCTGGGATTTGCACTGAGATCTTTAAGGAGGAATCTGTGATTCAGCAGAGGAAAGTCTACAGCTTCATCCATCTGAGTGTTCAGGAGTTCCTCGCTGCTTTCCATGTGTTTTACGTTCATGTAAGCAGCACTGCAGAAGCATCTTTTGATTCATTAGAAAATCTCCATAAAAGAATCATTGATAAAGCCATTGAGAGTGAGAATGGTCATCTGGATCTGTTCCTGCGGTTCCTGCTGGGCGTCTCACTGGAGTCCAATCAGAGACTC